ACATCACTGAGTTAACCAAGCAAAACCAACGGGTTTTGTTAGCTGGTTTGTTTCCCCCGCTAGAACCCAGACTGTCGCTTCTGAGACTCGTGGTACGTGCAGTATTTGGCATGATTTGTACCACAAGTGCAGGAGCTGAGGCTATCCAAAGGCTGGAGTGTATACTGGGAAACTCAGTGCTAGTCTCCCCAGCGTTGTCACTGAAATAGTTATTAGTTGTCCTTACCATCACACCTACACAGGCTTTTCCACCTCGAGTAACGTGACACATCCAGGGGAAGCCTCCTTCCCTGGTAGTTTGCTGCTCTGTGCAGCGAGGAGAGTTCAGACGCTGTCTGCAGCTCTAGCAACACGTTTTGCTCCGTCTGTCCAGAAAGAAGAAAGTCACCGTTGTTCTTTTTCTAAAAAGGTGCTAAATATTTTTCATAACTCAAATGTGGATAACGGCTGGAATTGCTCTGTGTGTCAGAATGAGGATGAGAAGGAATGATTCAAGGCCTGGAGCACTGTCTCGTATTGAGCTCAGTCGAAGGAGCTTATCAATGAGAAGGTTACAGAGTGACTTGATTGAAATCTATAAGGACCTACATGGGAGAGAGAAATTTTAGGGCAGAAGGCTCTTTAATGTAGCTGATAAAGGTATAATGAGATCTAGTGGCTGGAAGTTGGAGCAAGACAAACTGAGACTGGAAATGAGGTTCACACTTTAAACTGTGAAGATAACTACTGATTGGATTCTCCACATAACCTGCTTTAATAACATTTGGAGCGGATGTAGTGCCCTCTACTTTACAGACAGTTACACAGCGAGTTTCTTTTTGAGGGAGTAAATACCATTATTCCCATTTTCCAGACCAGATGCTGCAGCTGAGAAATTAAGTGACTTGTTGAAATCAGACACCGAGTCCGCATCAGAGCCACCCTGGGAATCCGGGAGGTCCTGGTCGCACTCAAACGACTGCTTCGCTGTAGCGGCATGGCTTGACCGCTCCTGGAAGCGGAAGTCGTCCGTGCACTTCCGTGCCGTAGCTGCGCAGTGGTGATGCAGCCTGGGTTACATTTGGGAGCCTGTCCTTTTCCCCACCGCGGAAGGGCACTACTTCCCACACTCAAAAGCCAAAGGAAAATGTGTTTTCCACGGCAGGCCTTTGGGAAGTGTTTGTAGCTCTCTTAGTGCATGACCTCAGAGACCAGAAGATGTGCCGGGTTAGTGTTTTGCTCTGATTTTCATTCAGGGAAATCGCACTACTGCTCTAGGCCCTGGTGCTTCTCACGCCTCTCTCGTT